ATATAGAAAAGCCTAAAAGCTCCACACACAAACTACTAGAACTACTAGAGCTGATAAAAGAATTCAGCAAGATAGCAGGATAAAAGATTAACATAACAAATCAGTTGCATTTCTTTACACTAACAAGGAAATAGCAGGAAAAGAGAGTAAAGAAACAATCCCTTTTAAAACTGCATCCAAAAGAATAAAATAAATCTGACCAAGGAAGTTAGATTTATATGCTGAGAACTACAAAACGCTGACAGTGGAAACTAAAGATAATTTAAAGGGGGGGGGCGGTGGGAAGGGATAAATTGGGAGTTTGAGATTTGCAGATACTAACTACTGTATATACAATAAACAAATTTATACTGTATAGCACAGGCAACTATATTCAATGTCTTAAAGTAACTTTTGATTAAAAAGAACATGAAAATTTATATATGTATGTTCCTATAAAAAATGACTTAAAGAAGTGGAAAGATGCCCCATGCTCTTGGATTAGAATTAATATTGTTAAAATGGCCATTCTACCCAAAGCAATCTACAGATTTAATGTGATCCCTATCAAGTTACCCAGGACATTTTCACAGAACTGGAGCAAATAATCCTAAAATGTATAAGGAATCACTGAAGACTCAGAATTGCCAGAGCAACACTGAAGAAAAGAAAGAAGCTGAGGAATAACCCCCCTGGACTTCAGACAGCACTGCAGAGCTACAGTCATCAAAACAGCATGGTGCTGTAATAAAACAGGCATGCGGATCAATGGGGCAGAATAGAGAGCCCAGAAATAAACCCACAGACCTGTGGTCAATTAATCTACAAAAGAGGCAAGAGTATACAATGGAGAAAAGACAGTCTTTTCAACAAGTGGTGGAATAACTGGACAGCAGCATGTAAATCAATGAAGTTAGAATATTCCCTCATACCATACACAAAAATTAGCTCAGAATGGCTCAAAGACTTACACAAAAGCCAAGATACGATAAACTTGCTAGGAGAAAATATAGGCAAAACATTCTCTGACATAAATCTTAGCAGTGTTCTCCTAGGGCAGTCTCCCCAGGCAATAGAAATAAAAGCAAAAATAAACAAATGGGACCTAAACTTACAAGCTTCTGCATAGCAAAGGAAACCATAAGTAAAACAAAACCACCACCTACGGAATGGGAGAAAATATTGGCAAATGATGTGATTGGCAAAGGTTTAATTTCCAGAATATGTAAACAGCTCATACAACTTAATTAAAAAAAAAAAGCCCAATCCAAAACTGGGCAGGAGACCTGAACAAGCAGCTCTCCAGTGAAGACACACAGACAGCCAACAGGCACGTGAAAACGTGCTCAGTACCACTAATTATCAGAGACGTGCAAGTCAAAACTACAGTGAGGTGTCACCTCACACCTGTTGGAATGGCCATCATTCAAAAGTCCACAAATGACAAATGCTGGAGAGGATGTGGAGAACAGGGAGCCCTCCTACATTGCTGGTGATAATGTAGCTTGGTGCAGCCACTGTGGAAAATGATACGGAGATTCCTCAAAAGACTAAAAACAGACGTATTATGTGATCCAGCAGTCCCACTCGTGGGCATATACCAGGAGAGAACTCAAATTCGAAAAGATACATTCCCCCAGTGTTTATAGCAGCACTACATACAATAGCCAAGATATGGAAGCAACCTCAGTGTCCATCAACAGATGACTAGATAAGGAAAATATGGTATATTTATACAATGGGATACTACTGAGCCATAAAAAAGAATGAAATAGTGCCATTTGCAACAAAATGGATGGACCTAGAGATCGTCATTCTAAGTGAAGTAAGCCAGAAAGAGAAAGAATATTACCATATATCCCTCATGTGGAATCTAAAAAAAGAAAAAAGGACACTAATGAACTCATCTACAAAACAGAAGACTTGCAAACATAGTAAACA